GTGTATAATTGATTTCCAACAAGATCTCTACTATGTTTGCAGACTTTCTTTTGACAGCAGTTCTTCAGCTTATGAAATATACTGATCTTATATATCTCATATAAAATCCCATTTTATTACATTACTTCCAAAAAAAGATTTAGCATGATTTCGAAGGGTGTGCAAATGGATTGCTTCTAATACTGTACATAGGGACTTTAAAGATATGACAGTGTTGCACATAGCACTTGATCTTGAGTTGTAAGTATAATTTCTCGAAATTATGTTCAGTGAATACAGTGTTATAGTATTGATAAAATGCCAAATATTAGCAGAGTTGCTTGCAGCGTTGTGTTTCTAAGCTAATATCTAAGTTTCTCTGAAAATCTCAACAGTAAGTTGGAAGAGGTGATATAAGGACAATGAAGGGTAGGCTTTGTTGGTCTTAGGCAGTAAGCAGAGCAGGATGGTTATCAGAAGAATTTCACTTCTGAGGAATTCAAATGAGGGATTGTTTAAGATCCTCCAATAGATTACTTCTGTTTCAGCAGTGGTTAAGTATGTTTCCCTCATTCCTTCACTAACATAGAAGATAAGAGTTCCAGTTCTGCTAGTTGTACATTAAGGTTGAGAGCAAATGATTCTGGTGATGTAGGTAACACAAAATCAGTGTACTCACCCTAGTTCTTAGCATCTTGAAGGCTCGGGCATTGCTAATACTCGAAAGGTATAGAAGAGAATAAGTTGTAAGCTGAGGTGTCTGGAATCTTGCACTGGTAGCATTAAGTACTTTGGTATCAGCTTTGGCAGACCTGGTAACAATGAGGTGCTCATCTGCAGTCATGAATAGCATCATGAATGCTGTTTAGATGCTTTGGAAGACTTGCATTTCATAAGGTCTTGAAGTACTCTGAATGATCCCTTTTGCATTTACTGGAAGGTAAAATTGTTGTTCCTTTTTTGGTTTTCTTTTTAAAATCTTTTATTCCACATTTTGAGTTTAGAGGATTTTTTGTTGTTGTTGGCTGGGTAAATTAAATGTTAACAAACTGTAAATTTTTCTATACCAGATATTTCTTTATAAAGATTGAAAATTGAAGAAGACCACCTTCCAAAACTATGTACAGTTAATTCTTTTAACAGAGATTCAGTCCTTCATGTTGGCTGTCATTTTTAACCAACAACTAGAAGTTTCAACTGTACACTTAGGATATGCAGCTTCGCAAAGTATTGCAGTGATGTTTATTTCTTGACCAAAGCTATCTTGTCAAATGGGATAGAAGTTTTAATATTCTGATCAGTAGGAGTCGGAAGTTCTTTCCTTGCAAGTTTATGATTACAGAAAGTTTAAAATATGAGATTTAATGACTAAAATAGGGCAATTCTATTCAAATAATACTTGTCTTTTTGAGGTTATTTTTTTTTTTTTTGTAAAATCTCCCACAGACTGTTTACAGCCTGAACCGAAGGAGAAAAGAGTAAACAGTTTATTCAGTGGTTTTCAGATTCTTTCAAGTTGTTTTGAAGTGGCTATACACAGTACACCAAACAATATCTTTCTGGAGATTTTTTTATATGCAACTCCCTGTCTAAAATGTACAGAGCTTCTATGTATGATTCAATTACCATCTCCATAAAAAAAAGAAGATGGTAGAGAAGAAAAGCATAAATAATAATTGCTTCTGACCTTCCACTTTAGAAACTTCTGTGATGAGTTTAAAATTTTGAAATTAAGCTGTAGGGCCTTGTTAGCAATGTTATCCACAGATACGCTGTGATCTGTCATCCTTGTTTTGCTTTTGGCATGTTAGGCATAAACCTGGGTGAGCGAAGAATTTGGACCCAGCGTACTGCCCTCCTTTGCTCTTAAGGAAATGCAGGCCCAGGAGTAAACAATGGGCCAAAGCATTCCAAATTATGGCACAACATTGAAAAAAGGTGAAATTCTGTGAACAGTGCCTACGTATGTGCATCTGACAGAGGTCAGCCCTGTGTCTTATCTGTTACTGTCCTGTGGTTCCTTTGTAAAAACATTTTTCAAAATGTTTTACACAATGCTTGTAAACTTCATTTATATCTCAAGTCTGATTTTGATGGGACGTGAAAAATTGCGGCAAATCAATTAGGAAGTGAGTTTTATCCACTTTCATTTCCTCACTACCTGAGAGCAACAAATGAAACATTAGTGAGGAATAGATGGTTAATGAGGCTGAAGCTGGTGATTCCAGTTCTGAGAAGGAGACTTGATATGGAAATAAGAAAATCTTCACTGTTTTGTTCATTGGAAAGTGTACATCAACACATGCAGATTAATCAGGCTTTTTTCTTGGTCGTATTGAAGTAGTCTGTCCTATTCTTTTTCTGTACCTTTAAGTATAATGTAATAATTCATTGCTTGCGTTTAAAATATCTAATATTTCCAGGGAGTTTCCACAATCTAAATAATATATGGAGTTGCATTAGCCAAGAATTTGCCTGATGCATGCCGTAGATTAAGGAAAGGATGATGCATTTCAGGTGAAGTAGATATTCTCAGCTGCTGTTTGGAGTCTTCATTAAATTACTGGAGATGGTATGCCTTCCTGATATTATGCACTCAATTTTAAAACTATTTGAGGCATGATCCAACTAAAGGAACATAATGTATTAGTAGTAAATTGAAATTCAAATTTCCCTTAATTCATGCCCTGTATGTCATACCCTTGATGGTTATGTTCTGCTACTAATGTTGCTTATCTGTTGGTTGAAACAAATGCTGCATTTTAAATTTAGTAGTAATCCCTTCCTGGGGTAATTTGTTTTCAAATGAAAGACAAAAAGGATTCTTAATTTAAAGGTTTGGTACTCAAGATAAAATGTGGGTTTCGCATAGAGGGCTGATGCTCTGAGTTAACTGTTCTTTCTGTTTTGCGTTCTGCAGCAGTGTGTTCCTGGGGGAAAGCAGCGTACGGCAATGATTTCAAAATTAAAAACTACTTTTTTTTATCTTGTCACAAATGTATGTGCAAGTATATTGACAAAGTATGTGTAGAAAGACAGTTGAAAGGAACACGGTTACAAAACAAATTGTGTTGCCACTTGTGAAAGTCTCTAAATATTAGTTAGGCAAGTCTTGTTATGGATGCAGGGATGTTCAGCTTCTACAGGTCACGGAAGTGGACATGCTTGAGAAGGGGCTCTCATCAACCTTCTATATGTCTTTCAGGCATGTTAGGGATAAAAGGTTTCCTTTTAAAGATGGATCTTAAAGATTCTGATGTTTTTATGCTAAAGACAGTGCAGTGTTTTATAAAAGTACTTGTCTGTGGCTGGCTTTTTTTGTACCAGTTCATTTGTTTGGAACTCAGTAAAATAAATCTTCCATAAAACCAAGATAGTCAAGGCTGAAGATCCAAAATTTACTATTGCAATGACAAAGCTTTTGGCCACTGCAGGAAGATAGTCCTGTTGAATGAGATGTTATGGCTTCTTATGGAATACAGCAAACAGATCTATGTCAGCTTTTCTACAGATATTCTGTTTAAAAAAATATAGGATCAACTGGAAGATTTACATTTCTACTAAGGCTGAAAGTCAACACTCAGATACCTTGTTTTCTGGTCTAGGGAGCAGTGCTGTAGAAGGAATAAAACATTGATGGTTTGGTTTTAAAGCAACATAATGGGCTGAACAAGTGAAAGGAATATTTGGCCCATGTGTAGAATTTGCCATCTGAAATTCAAGGCGTCTTTGCCAAAAGCTATTTTATTTTTCAAGCGATACCACAGAAATAATACTTTGTCAGTTGACATTCTTCACAAATTTTCTTTATGCATGAATCAAATAAAAAAGAACAGGGATATGAGTGTTTTCTCTAAAGATTTTGACACTTGCTTGTTGTAATGAATAATTAAAGTCAGCTGTGATTGTAGACAAGTCTAATATTGAGGACAGATAGTGCCTGTTTCAAAGATATTGGTGTTTCAATTCTCAGAAGGGGAAGCATGATTGCACAGAAGCTCTTAGAGATGCTTCCTAAATTATACCTGGACTTAAATTATACCTCGTCTTACCTGGGATCTAGGCTCACTGAGGGTTTTTTGTCACTACCATAGAGCCAAAATGCCTGTGTGTTATGAGAACTGCTCTTGCTTCAGGCTCTGTGGCTAACCAAGTTAGCTAGCAAATGAAATATTCATGCTGTGAGCCTCTTTTGGTTTGTGTTCATGGTGTCACCGGTTCTTCCGAAGGGTGGGAATAGATGCTGACACCACAATCCTGTACTGACAGCTTGTTCCTTCAGTATTGTTTTTATACTTTTGGTTAAACATATGCGCTGTTTACTTCTCAGGCTCTTGAGTAGGGCCACAGGTGATACTTTTTAACATATTCTAATAGTATTTATAACAGATTATTTTTGAATGACTATATGTAATGAGTCGGGATCTAATGAAAGCTCTTCTGTTGAAACGAAGTTACAAACATAAAATGTGCCTACAACTTTTTCTCATACGATGATGGGTTACGTTTTTATTGTTTGTTATATATTCTTTATTTACACAATCTCTTTCAAGTTTGCCATTTCTTACCTTGTGCATTTCTCATCCCTTTTCCCCCTCTGTCCCTGTAATAGTAGGGCTACCCCTTGCCCTCTGAGGGAATGCAGGCTTAAATTAGCACCTGGAGTTAATGTATTTGTTTTGTGAAGCGTTGCATATCCAAGTAGCGGGAATAAATATGGTTAGCTGTGTATGATGGCAGTGCGTACATCTGTCATTTCAAGTACTGGTTACTCCATGAAGGTTCCTTTCTGAGTGGAAGGTTGGAATACTAGATGTATGCATCAATGTAAGGATTTTTTAATGTGGGAATATTAATTTGTGCACTTTTTCCTCCTTTTGTCACACCTGGGACATTCACACAGTGTTGATATATCATAAATTGCTTTTTGGTTTTACTAAGAAATAAACTTCAAACTTGCAGTCCTAACTTGATCGTTACAAATGCTCTTTTTTTTTTTTTTTTTTTTTTTTGATTAACAGTTGTAAAACAAAGGTGTATGCAGACAACCTTCCCACAACAAGTGTTGTCATTGTTTTTCACAATGAGGCTTGGAGCACACTTCTACGAACTGTTCATAGTGTGATAAACCGGTCACCACGACACATGCTGGAAGAAATTGTACTTGTTGATGATGCCAGTGAAAGAGGTAATGATAAATGTTGATACCTTTAAGATATTGCAGTTTGTTATTCTTGTTTCTTCAAAAATTGAAAGCGAAGTTTTACTGGCTTAGCTTTGCTCAGCAAAACACAGTAGTGGGGTTGAAGGGCAATAAGCATATGCCCCTTATCAATTACAAATGGATCATTCTGCTCTGAAAACGAATACAATTTTGTCTGCTTTTTTGTTGACATTATAGAGATTGTGTTTATCCTGCTACCATTTTCTTGTTCTACATTTGGAACTGTAACACGTTATTAAGGCTTGGGGCATTTAAAATTTGAGCAATGTGATGAGTAATAGTAAAGGCAACTTTCTTCTTCACACACACCCCAATTTACTTTTGGTACCACTATCAAACATGGTGCTCAAAGGGATCAGTATTGACTTTTCAGTTTATGGGAAATTGCAGTTCAGTTTCCCTGCTGTGTGAGATTCCACTTTTTAATGGTCAGTGGACAAAGTGAAAGTTCTGTGATACAGAATAAAACTTGTTTTGTTACCTTATATAATGAAATTAATGGACAAAACTTGAAGCTGATTTTCTTAAAGTGACTTTATTTAGATTTTGCTTGGCAGTGATTTTTGTAAATTACAATATAGTAGAAATAAAGATAATATTCTGGAAAGTACTTGGTAGCTCATTCTAGATCAGTTATTTGTTTTATTTCTTGATTGATTTTTGTCAGTGTTCTTGGTTATGAAGTGTAACTTGAGGGATACTTTTTCTTGTGTGTGTGTGTGTGTGTGTGTGTGTATGAGAATGAGAGAATGTCATGTTTTCTGAAGTATGTTGAAATATTGCTTTTAAAATATATTTCTGTATTGGAAGATCTCCAGTATATTAATAGTGAGGAGGCCACTATTTAAAGTAAATAAATAGAATTTTGGCAGCCACCATTTGTTGGCGGTCATCTGTATTTATCTGCATCAGCAGTAATTTCCCTGCTTTAGTTGGAAAATTGAGCAACCAGCATGCTGATATCTCAGTTTGAGGCTTCTGATTCCAATATTGCAAAATGCATATTCTGCTTATTATGTTAATTCCAACTTCTCAGTAAGATGGGTACAAACATCTGAACAAACACAATCTATGTACAGGAAGTGATGCTGGATTGCAGACCATGTGGTCTGAGTAGCATTACGGTGTGTGGATTACAGTAACTAGCAGGAATTTTTGTGGATTCACAGCTGAAGAATTTACAGGGTACAAAGATTATGAAGAATTTTTATGGGGTATCTTTTTATAGTAAAAAGTGTGAGTTTCTTCTTCAGCTTGTATGCATGTATGGTAATGTAACATGCTGCCTGACCAATTCCAAGCCATGTATGTCCAGAGAACAGCTGGCTGTGAAGAAGATGAACAGAGGAGAGAGAATGCCAGTTCGATGAGTTGTGACCAGGCCGTTTACCTAGGGATGCATTGCTCATGCACTCAGGTTGTGTTTGCACATGTATCAGTATTTGCTCCTTACTTCTTGTTCACACTTGCTAGTTCACCTGATACTAGGCGTTAGCCTCTTCAACAAATTCTAGTGCCATTTGGAAAAAGCAACAGGCTTGAAAGGCAATCACACTCTGGTAGAAGAGAAGGAGTGCCTGTGCAAAGGGCAAAGCTACCACGTGAATGTGTTCCAGATGGGATGGGAGTTGTGATTAACTTTTTAGCTTTTAGAAGGGTCAAATTTTCACTATTTTAACTTGGAGGGAATTGGTAGCGGCACCCCTCAATTTCTTGTAGTTATTAAAGCTCTTGTTCCACCTTTCTTTTGAAACTGCTCACCACTCTGAGGATTATTCCTGGGGAATACAGATGCTGATATTTGGGTTTTAAGTGTCTGTAATCAGGTTATTGTGCAGGTACAGATTTCCTTAATGAAATAGAGGGAGTACTGTTTTGGTTGGTTGTCTCTTATGCTCAGACTCATGCTAGAAAAACAAAGTTTAGTGCAAATCTGCTCTGTTTCATTTATCTGCACAGTCCCTTTCAATAATTCATATCTTTGCAAATGATTAATAGTGACAGGTCAGCTTTCAAAGTGACCTAGAAATAGAGTAAGCTCATATTAAAATAATGTAGGCAGGTATTTCTTGTTTTGTCTCTTTAATTTCTATTTAGTAAACAACAGCAGTAACAGCAACCAAAATTTTTATTTAACACTCACCATGTCCTCATTATGATGTAGAATTATAATTCACTTTAAAAACGGCTTTTTAAAGATATATTTTGTGCTCCTGATTTGTTTGAGGTAGGTTACAAAATCAATATAATTCTAGGCTGAAAGATGTAACATTTCAGATTTTGAAATTATTTTTGGTGACGTTATCAAGCATCTTTAGTTTTGAAATCTATGATGATCACTTTTGCACCTTCCACCATTATTTTCAACAGTTCCTGAAAATTGTTTTGTTTTTTTAATGCTTTTTTTTCCAAAAACATACTATGTTTCCAGCAATGTTCTTTTACATTAAATAAAACTGAAGCGATGTGATGCCTGAAAATATGGAGGCTTTAGCATATGCTGCTTACATATTCTGTTTGTGTTGAATTAAAACGGCAGACTTTTTTCCAGAAAAAGAAAACTGTTCAGCCTGAGCAGTGTATTTTGAATTCTAACATCAGAGTCGATTTAATTGGAATGAAGTAAGCATTCAGTCTGCCTGAAGCACACTTTGTACCTGCCAGTGTCAAGCTCTTAGAAGAATGAATTTGCATAATATCACACAATTATTTACACTGCAAAAAAAGCTTTGGAGAAACAAGGCATGGCTGTAACATTTCTTCTCTAGTTGCTGATCAGAATTGTGTATTTTGTTTTCGAGTATTAACTTCTTTGTTAACTACTTTAGAAAACAACATTAGCAGAAGAAATCAGAAGTAGTCAGTACTTTAAAACTAGGTCGAGTACTGAATGGCCCAGTGTGCATAGCAGATTACATCAGGACAGAAAACACCCACAGAAGCTAGTGATAGATGCATATCAAAGCGATGGATTTAAAACTAAATACCTGAAAATAATGTCTGCGAAGTATTTGTGCTGCTTATATCTGTGACTGCGTGATTAAAAATCAGGAAATCTGTATTGTAGCTTAATAAAAATATTTATTTTGAAACTTAATGTTTACTTGATGTTCACAAACTGTGACTCAGTAATGGAATTGTCCAGTTATTTTTCAATTTGCACACTTACTGGCTTTAACTGAATTGATTTGCTTTTTTTGTCAACTTGGATTTCTTAGTGCCAGTACTACCATAGAAGATGCTCTTTAAACATTCCATAGCAATAAGTAAAACTATTCATATTGATAGAGAAAAAAGTTTAGAAAGGAATATCCAGCAGAAAGTTTTGTCTCTGATATGGAAGGTCTTTTGCAAGTATTGTCAAAACCTCACCCGCTGCTTAAAGTGCATGAGGCAGTGCTAAAAACTTACTCGGCTGTCATCCCAGGTCATTCCTGAACATCTGACGCTGTAGTGCATAAATATTTTCATTTGGGTGTTTAACATAGGATTTAGTGGAAGTATAGCCACTTGGCTTGCATACAAAGTTATCTCTAAAGCTTAACATTTCTAGTAGGCCAAAAATGTATTATGTGCATTAAGAGATTATTCCAATAATTTTTAGATGTGCGGAGGAACATTTTTCTGACTGTCAGATTAGCACAGAGAAATTCTTCACTGTCATGTTATCTGTGTAATCATGCAAATACACATATGTATACACATATACATTAAACTATACATAGTTCCACAATGCTAATCTCTTAAATTGGTGGCTTTGGGAAGCTACGTAGTAAGAAGTGAAATTAGTTTGATACAGGCTGCGTCAGTCAAATGATGTGTGCTTATCCCCAACAGGCCTGCAAAATTTTTAGATGTGAAAATGGGTTTGTACTTCTGAATTCTTCCTACTAAACATTCTTTTGAATCTGTGTTAGTATGCACAATAAAAAGTTAACTTTGTAGTGAGTTTCTCTTGAGACAAATATTTAAGGTCTTTCCAACTCTTTTAACACAGCTTAGCGTCCAAGATGTGTCAAAACTTATTTCTGTGGGTTTTAGTGACAGTCCAACAATGCGAAGGGAAAAATGAGGAGGGAATTAGCTCAGCAGAGCAATAGTGAGGAATGGTAATCATCCCTGGGGCAGCTCTGCCTCTTGAGATTTACAAAGCAGCCCAAGAGTCTGTGCAGTGCTTTTTCTCCCTCCAGTGTCACACACGTCCTTGCATGAAGGACTTAATAATATCTTACATTAAATCCTACTCTAGGCTGTGCACTGTTGTACTACAACTCTCACATGCTTTGAATATATCATGTAATACATTCAGTAGCTGAGTTTTGTAAAAGTACTTATTTTGCCTCTATTACAGGTTTCAAATCTATATAATGTTATTACACAAGTTTATATGGCTGTAAATTGCTTTTTTCCTCTCAGTTCTTTGTTCTTCTTTACTATTTTTCATAGTCTAATTGGTCATGATGAACAAGAACTATGCTGAGCAGTGAGAAATTTTACAGCTGTTTACACTGCACTAAATTTTGAATTTACAGGCACTTATTAGCTGTTAGTTATGGATGTTGTATTTTAATTAACATGATCCTTGGATAAGCAGGTTTGTTGTATAGATGCTCATTGACATACAGCTGATTGCCTTCATTTTTGTTTTTAGGAATTGTAGTGATAACTTAGAGATCTTAGCCAGACATATGTGGAGAAAGCAGAATTGAAAAATGCACTTGGTTATATTTCAAACTCTGCTAAGAAATCTGTAAGTTACATTATGGTAGGAGATAAATAGTTCAGCTAGTTGGCTCATTTTTGTTATTTTCATGATGGATAATTTTGTGCCCAAGAATATGTATGCATACATTTATTCCAAAATAAAATCTTGTCTATCCCATCATATTTTTGTGTAAGCATTCTACACTCTCCATTTTTGTTTCCCATGATGACAGAATGAAGAGAAGGAACTTCCTGCTCTAGCAAGTGAAATGCATGGGGGAGGGCAGAAGGGCTTTGTGCAAAGTGGAGAATAAGCAGCAGAGTAAACTAGCTGAGAAAAGAGGAAAGTGATAGGAAAGCAACGAGAAACCTTATTTCAACTCTCTTCATCAAAAATAAAGGGAGAAAAAAAGCTGTACTTTGTAACTGACCGTTTCCATCTGTTTTTTTTTTCTTTTTTTTTTTTTTTTTCCCCCTCACAGACTTTTTGAAAAGACCACTGGAGAGCTATGTAAAAAAATTAAAAGTACCTGTCCATGTGATTCGAATGGAACAGCGCTCCGGTTTGATCAGAGCTAGATTAAAGGGGGCTGCTGCTTCCAAAGGCCAGGTCATCACCTTCTTAGATGCTCATTGTGAATGTACGGTAGGCTGGCTCGAACCTCTGCTGGCAAGGATTAAAGCTGACAGGTAATTATCCATCTGTTGGTCCATCATTTTTTTTTTTAAGGTTTTTAAGAAGTTTCTAAGTACTGTGATGTAACCTAAAAGCAAATATCTACTTTCTGAAAGGACAAGAAAGTCCTGTATTTTGCAATGGTGTAAAGCTAAAAGACTAATTCAGAACTGCTTTTGAAGGGGGAGACATGGTTTGAAATAAAGCTTATATTGAAATGCGTGAGCTAATGTGTTTAAAAACTGGGAGATCTGAGTATGAATGGAGTGGAAAGTAGTGGAATTTGAGGTCTTTTACTTGGCTTACTCCTTCATGAATTTGGGAAGATATTCTTAAAGAAGAAATGGAGGCCCTGGTCACAACAAGGTAAGCTTTTATAAGGGCAGGTATTAACAAGGTGAGGGGAAATTATACTGAACTGGCAGAGGGTAGATTTAGACTAGGTATCAGGAAGAAATCCTATACTGTGTGGGTGGTGAGACACTGGAACTGTTTGCCCAGTGAGGTTGTGGGTGCCCCATCCCTGGAAGCATTGAAGGCCACGCTGGATGGGGCTTTGAGCAACCTGGTCTGGAGGGAGGTGTCCCTGCCTATAGCAGAGGGCTGGAACTAGGTGATCTTAGAAGTCCCTTCCAACCCAAACTGTTCCATGATTCCATTCTATGATTCTACAACTAGAAGTATCTCTCAAGTTTACTGTATTCAGGTTCTCATGACTTCTTTCTTTCATAATATGGGTTGTGAATGATCTGTGGATGTGTGAAATTCTGTGATGTGGCGTGGTCTTCTAGGGTGTGTTGACTAAAGTTAGAATAGTTACTGGAATCATGCTAATTTACACTGCAGCAGGATGGCTTTGTGCCTATTTTAAATCGGTATTCACAATGCTTACGTGCATGCTAATGTGTTGGAAACTTGAGTTTTATTGTAAGGAGAAATTGGTATGCTTTACAAAACATACATCTGAGCAATTCCACAGTTGCAGACTAGTTGTTAGTAAACAGCATTTTAAATAGGCTAGCTACTAGGCATAGTGTTACAGATCTTAGTTTTGTTCTTATGGTTATAGGTGAAAATCACATAAGTTTTCATGTTACAAAATACAGTATTACATGATGAAAAAGCAGCAGCTATTAAAGAGCCTTTGTACAGAGCTGTACAAAGACACAATATCAACCTTTAAGTTATCATTTTTGTGGGATTCATGTAAATTATTGTTGCAATTTGTGCAAATAGCCCAAATAAATGAGTCCTTTGAACTTAGTTGCAGAGCTTCCCATGAGTGGAAGCCTACTTGAGTTAATTCAATCTCTTTAAGATGATTAGAATTACTATCTCTGAGTATATATATGCCTTGATGATGTCAGAACAGTAGACAGTGAAGCCTCTTTCTATTTTTGTGTGGTAGCTCATTTCTTAGTCTTGATGATATTTTGGAATACTTCCTCAGGGCTAACGACTTGAGTCTTAATTTTAAAATGTGCAAGTTATTTTGACCACTTAACTAGAAACCAGAGCTTCTTTTACATTCAGTCACTGTTTGACATTGAGAAAGCTATGATCATTTTTTTTCATCTGCAGAAGGTGATTAGTTATTACTGATAATAATGCACATGCTAGTGTTTTTAAAGCTAGTATTGCCAAAATTGCAACACATTTTCATTTGGATGAGTTATTTCAAACTAGCAAGATAGAGCTTGATATTCTGGTAGTATCTATCATGTACTGCTGAGAAATGGCATTGGAAATTTTAAACTTAGTACCTGTTAAAAATGGAGTTTAAAAAAGGAAACCACGAACCTTTTTCTGAAATTTGTACTAACAGATTTTGGTTCATCCTTCTTTTTAGGAGAACAGTCGTGTGTCCCATCATTGATGTAATTAGTGATGACACCTTTGAATACATGGCAGGTTCAGATATGACTTATGGTGGTTTCAACTGGAAGTTGAATTTCCGTTGGTATCCAGTTCCTCAGAGAGAGATGGATCGACGGAAAGGAGATCGAACTCTTCCTGTTAGGTAATTATTACATTGGTTAAAGTGTTCATCTGGTGTTCTTTCTGGATTAATCTTGTATACAGGTAGACAGTTAATTTTGTTGTTGCAATTATCTATTTGAAGGAGCAGCATAAAGATTATTTTACGTGAATGGGCTGATTGTAACTTTTGAAAGGAATGAAGAAAGCTACCATATGTCACTGTAGAACTATTTCTGTGCTTTTTGCTAATTACCAGCTGACTGCTAGCTTTTTGCTAGTTTTTATGGTACATATATTTTTATTGAAGCAATACCTTATTTTTTTCTCTAACAGATAAACAATATTTTGAATATGACATTTTTATTTCTTGTTGGTGTCTGTGAGGGTTGCTCTGAAAGTTATGTGTCCTTTTTTTTATAACGTTGGGCCACAATTTCATAGGTGGATGTTGTTGCTGTGGCAGTAGAGATTGAACCTTCCATATTTCATTAAATTTTGTTCCATTGAAACAAGTGGCAGCAGAGGGAGGCAGTCTGATATACCAGTGTCTGACACAGAAGTGTGTGTGAAGCAAAGATAGAGAATTGAATTCCTTCATGCAGTAAAAAATTGCACCCATTCACAGACACTTGATGAACATCTGTGGAGACCAAACAGTGGATATGAGTATAGTGAGGCAGTGAGGGGTGACAGTAGCATGAAAGACAAGCCATGATCACTATGACCATGCACAGCTGTTGCACCATGAAATGAAGAGCATCTCAATCAGCTCATCCACACAGATTAGCAGATTACAATCAGGGAGCTGTGTACAGAGTTTCAGTGCATTGGAAATGATGTTGGCAGTGTTCGAATATTTGCAGAGTTTGCACTAGGTGGATCCCATGGTACTCATAGAGGAGCAGAAGTAACACCATATGAAAGTTTGTTAGGATCAGTTGAACCAGTATGAGGCAGAAGGTGGCAGTTTCGTGGACTGCGTCATTACCAGTGATGAGACGTGGTGTCACCACTACAAACCAGTCAAAATGGCAGTCCATGCAGTGGCAAGATGCGAATTCACCCATCAGAGGACAAGTTCCAGTTGCATCCCTCAGTGAGTGTAGTATCTTCTGAGAGAGGAAAGGGGTCCTTTTGGATTTCCTGGAACCTGGATAAACCATCAGCTCTGACCTAGTGGTCATTGTGATTCTGACTAAGCTGAAGGTTTGAACTTCCAGAGTCAGTCTAGAGAAGAAGACAACCTTACTCTTGCACCACAGTAATGCCAGTCTTCATACCAGTTTCAAGACCATGGTGCACACTGCCAGTCTTGAAGGAATGTTGTACCCCACTCACCATATAGTTCAGATTTGGTGCCTGCTAACTTTCACCTGTTTGGGCCAATGAAAGGTGGATTGTATGAGCAACAGTTTGCTAGTAATGACATGCTCAGAGCACTGAGGTCACGTCCTCTCATGCAGGTTGTTACAAGTGTGACATGCAGGCTCTTGTCCTTTGCTGACAAGAACAGGTAGCTGATGGTGATGATTATGTTTAAAAATAGTGTTGTAGCTGAGAATTTGCTCTAGCAAATAGTGTTATTGTGCTCCTTTTATCTATGGTAGTTTGTATAGAAATAAATAGGAGGCATTACTTTCAGAGCACCCTATGTACATGTGCTTGTGTGCACATACATAAACATATTAGAAATGCATGAAAGGGAGACAAATTTATTCTGGTATGTCATATTTGCAAAGATAATGTGGAACACATATAGCTTGAGTAAAATATACCTTAACACAACTTCAAATTTACATTTCCTGGCCTTAACACTCAGAAAAGTGGGCAATATTAACTTAATGTAAGGTTGAAGATGTGATCTCTGGTATTTTTGGTTTGTGCTCTATTATGAAGAAATCAAAGGTGTTCTCAGGATGTGGTTAATGGATTATTTTTTTCCCCAATGTCTATTTTAGTGGAAAAAGCTACACAAATTATAGTTAGATTGAGACTACCTAACTTATATTTAACGTGTCTTTCAGGAAAAGCAGGAAGTGTTTCAGAAGAATGACTAGTGGTAGAAAATGATTTATGCTAGAAAAATATGTCATTTGTAGACTTGAGCTATAAAATTATATCAGCAGGCAAGGCGAATGTGTAGCTTTTGTATTGTGTGCATGTTAACTAAAAAATGAAAAATTGGGAAGCTAAAGTATGAGAAATTAACATTCTTTACTAGTAAGGAACTAATTAAAAAAAAAATCTGAATGTAACCCTGATTGTACAACTTCCTTGTGTAAAGTGAGAATAGTGAAAGCACGCAGACCACTTCATGGCCTCTTGTAATTCTTCACGAGTAGTTACAGGCGTGTATATTTCTTGTAAGAAACCAGTTTCTCTTTTCTAAAAATTACCATCACTGGAGACAGAAGTTTCCTTCTGCAGGAGTGGCAGCTGCTTATTAGGAGAATTTCTCTATTCAGAGTCAAACTTGAAGCGAGGAAACAGTGAGAACTGTCAGTAACTGCTTCCTTCTCCAGAAAGTGTTGAGCTAGCAAATACATCAGCGGTAACTGCGCTTGGACAGCAGCCTCATGAGAAGGAGCGTGTTCTGAGCTACAGAAATAAAAAGTCACACTGTCAGTGTGTAAATGTGAAATGTATTTAAGTGTGTCGTTGTAGTGACTGATGCTTATTTCTTTTCTTTTTTTTTTTCAGGACGCCTACAATGGCAGGAGGTCTTTTTTCAATAGACAGAGATTACTTTCAGGAAATTGGAACATATGATGCTGGAATGGATATTTGGGGTGGAGAAAACTTGGAAATTTCTTTCAGGGTAGGTAAAAGCTTATATGTGCTCAATGTGTTGTTAATGACAGCATGTCTCACATTCTGTAAAATACGGACCAGATGACAGTGACAGGGTCCTCTCCTTTTGCAGCTAGTAGTATACTTCCTGTCAAGTTCCTCTGGTGGAGACATGCAAAAACTGCACCTGTCAGTGAAGAAAACTGTATGATGAATAGTTGACAGTCTTGTGACAAAAAATGGAATTGGAGTGTTTACTGTGAATAAATACAGTTGTTTTTTTTGAAAGGAATTCAGTTAGAAAATCCACTTGGAGCATAAGTTAAGGGTAATACTGTCAGTGTATGGTATACCGTGTCATTGAAATGTGAGTGGCTCTGTTACTTTCTCTTCTTCTTATGGCCTACCTTAAAGGTTGCCTGTTTTCATTTGGTTGTGGACCTAACCAGCATTGTTCTCACTTCCATTCCTACCGAATAGCACAGTTACCTTTTGTTACATTTATCAGCTCAGAACAAATAAGTGGTTCCAAAATGAAACTGAAAATATTTTCAGAAGTGTTACTTGGGAAATATATGTTGTTTTTACATGGAGGATCTGTTTTATAGTGGACTTTGCGGGCAGATAACCACCTGATACTTTACTGTGATTCATGTGAACCTTTTCATTCCTTTGCTGTCCTGCTGGCCCAGTTCTCTGAAATAATCCCATGCTGTGAGGCCTACTATACTCCTTCTTATGCTGTTCTACTTAGGCTTTTGAGCATCCTTACCCATTGAGCAGGAAACAAACTTACTTTTCCCTTCCATATAGTATTTTTATGTTGTAGATATCAACTTAACTTTTCTCTAAACTGACTAGCAGTAACTAATTAACATTTTAAAATGTTTTTTAGCTGTTTAAACCATTCAGTAACTGTGCTTTCACTTTCAGATTTGGCAGTGTGGTGGCACTTTGGAAATTGTAACTTGTTCACATGTTGGGCATGTGTTCAGAAAAGCAACACCATACACTTTTCCAGGAGGTACAGGGCAGATAATCAACAAAAATAACAGGCGGCTTGCAGAAGTGTGGATGGATGAATTCAAAAACTTTTTTTATATCATTTCCCCAGGTGAGCAAGTTATGAAAATAAATATCTATTAAGAATTGAAATGGATTACTGCTGAAGAAAAAAACAAACAAATAAACATGAGTATTATGAGAATCTAGCTAAAAATATTATTTAATTTCATGATACAAAACTCACCAAAGATGTATAAAAAGGACAACTTTAATTAAAACAATGTTATTAGCCTATCCAGAGATGTACCCTGAAGACTTTGAAGTCTTCCTTTTTTTTTTTTTTTTTTTTTTTTTTGAAATGTGAACATGACTTATGAATGAGCTTCCTGTGCAATGGAGTTAAAGCTCAGTAGAACATCAGAGTTTAACTGTAGTGCTAAAAGCCAGCTGTCCAAATGCATCTCATAATGTGATGGAGTTTGACCTCTGTGTTGTGGGCATTGAAGGTAGAACCAATTAAAATAGATGTAAGTGAATTCCTGTAGCAGGAGGGGCAAAATTTAAGGTCGTCTGGCTTGGTTGAGTTTGCATGTGGCAATCTAGAGTGGGAGAACAAAATGGACAATGTATTTGACTGTGATGATACATATATTTCTTAAAGTGAATGTTAACAAAACAAAAGAATATATAATATGAGAGCAAATTTTCTATGAACTCAGGTTTTCTATGAGCAGAAATTTTCAGGAAAAGAATAAAGCAGCCTGGGAAATACTGAATTATTACCTTCTACTACAGATTAATTTTTGTTTGTCTTTTTAAACAAAAGACAAACTTCAGAGAGCAACAGACACTGACAACTATTTGAGGCATTAGAGACATTGAACTTCAAATACTGAGCAGTGGTCTTATATGATAAATCTACTTTCCCAAATAGCTATCTTTTAAGCTACTGTTCACTTATGACTTGGTTATTAAACTTGCATTAGTATTGAAATGTAATAACTGGAATAAAATGTAGTAATCTAGATTACAGACTTTGAGAATACTTTGTGAGAGCAGGTGATCACATTGCTTTATACTTTTGTTTTTTAATAGAATGCATTACTTGGTTAGGACTAAGATTTTTTAAATTCTGTTTTCGTGATTAATTTTGTAATTTGGTACCAGTCAAAGCCTTTTAGGTGAAATCTGAATCTTATAGCTTGTGGCTACTCTGCTGCTTTATTAATTAAGAATTATGAATTCAAACATCACATGTATAAATGTCTTTCAGATAAGCTGTATATAAATAACTGCAATTAATTTTGGCTAAGATTGTTTTTTTGCATCCATGCCAAGCTGGATTTTTTTTTTTTTTTTTTTTTTTTTACTAAGTGACAATACTTACGTGTAAAAAATAAGCTCTTGAAAACAAAGCTGAATTAGTCAACATAGTGGTAATGCTGTGTTATTTTCTATATGATCTTTGTAGTCCTTCTTTTCATGAAATAACTACAAGCTACAAAAGGAGTTACTGTTTTCATGTAGAAATGTTGTTTTGATACAGCTTCTTTTCATGGGTTTACAGCATTGTGTCTATACATACATTTTTCTGTTGGAGAAAAGTTACAAAAAAAAAAATCATTTAAAACAGAATGTGAATAAGAGTTTTGAGATGGTGAAAGTAACTTCAGCGATTCTCTATAGTTGCACTGTATATTCTCTTCTTTTGAAAGATGCATGCCTGCACAGTTTGTCTTATGCTAATAACCTGCATGATTGGTGGATACATTCTTGCCAAGAGCTCTAAGCTGCTCAGAGAGCATCTGCACCAGCCAACTGGCACTCAGTCTCATTTATGTGCCTGTATCCCTTTGACACCACACTGAAGTTTGACACCGGAATTTCCAAGTTTCAAGAATCACAGGGCTGCTTTACCTGAATCTGTTGCGTTGTTCTGAAATCAGTCTGTTACCCAAGGCTGTGAAAAAGAATGGCTTGTACAGCTGCTCGCTTCTAGCTATGATGCAGTGTTTATTGTTTAGAGAATGAACCGATAGACTGTACTCAGCGCTGCTCATATCTTCTTCCCTCCCCTCCAAATCCTTGCGTGTTGTCAGAACCAGAATGGATTATTATTTGGGGAAGTTCACAAACCCCTTACCTTTATTACACTGTTATCTCTATCTTACCTGAGTTAGGCAGACTGCTGATTTTACCTATTGACGGCAAATATTGCCTTGAATTGTCAGTACATATTTCTAAGCTAACTCAGTGAATTTCTTCTCCATTAACTCACTTTGCCATACTCTCAGTTTTCAAGTGTCCTTCTTATATAAAAAGGAAATGCTTAGTTCTTGCAGAATGATGATGTAGTGACTCTGGCAGACTGTACAGCCTGTGAAACTCTCTGCTAGTGCAGTGTGTGCTTTCAGTATTACTGTGACAGTGTCACAGCTTCTTGGAAGGAGCAAGATGAGAATTTTTAAGCTGATGCTAGCTTGCAAGCCTGGATGCATATGAGAAGAAAACGAGCAAACCTCTGCACCCGTATTTTTCTTGTTATGGATGAGGAAACTGGATTTTGAAGGAGGTAAAATACTGGCAGACATGATAAAGTCAAATTAACAACAACTTCTTTATATCCTTTCTTTTCTGCTCCCCTGAGAGAGGGAACCACAGAGGGATGCAAACCTAAGATTTTAGGGTAGCTTTCCTATTTCATGTGATCCGAACTGCGGAAGGAAATGCCTTACTATTTGATTGATAGGAACTCCAGAGACTTTTTACTATTGATGTAGTTAAGTGCAAAGCTATACTCTTGAAAAGTAAGCCTTTAATCTTTTTTCCACCTCCAATAAATACTGCCTAATAGGAACTACTTGTGTTTTAAGCTTTCATGCGTTTTAGAAATCATATTTCTGCTCAGAAGCAGACAAGTACAGAAGGAAGTTGAGCAGGACAGTGTTGCAGCAGGTGCTGCTCAGCCAAAATCCAACCTTTCTCTTCGCACACAGCAGCTATCCTCTGCAGCATTAATGGCACTAACTGTTGCAGTTGTTCTGCATTAGCGTACAGCTTTTCTTACAGCTGTGTGTTGCAGCAGGGTGCTGTTTCACAGACCATTTCCTGTTGGAATCCTGCATATGCAGGTGAATAGCTTGGATCCTGTCAGCCTGTGCAGTGGATTTTGCCACTTCTCTCTGATTCCTAGACTTGCTCTTTTTTTTTTCATTGTCTCTAGTCCAGAATACTGTGAAAGAATTGTCCAAGGGTGAGGCTTTCTGAGATGGCAGTGTCAGTCCAACAGTTCGCTGCAAGGATGGTGCCTTATTCCCTTTGCTTGTTGATTGTTTGTGTATGGCAGCTGGTTTTACTTACTGAACTCCTTGGGACCTTTTACTCTGTAGGCTTTCTGCTGGTTAAATTAGCACCTGTGTCAGCACAGGAAGTGCAGCAGCAGTCTGAAGCTGAGCAAGGAGAATGCCCTTCTTGCAGCAGCAGCTCCATACTGTTAGGTTGGCTTACCACAGCTACTTTCTTGTAGCTACTAATTAATTGTAAACTGGCAGTTACAGTGTTTGTTAATATCTTTCTTCTAAAGGTGAAACACAGATTACACAAGAAAATCACACAGCCTAAAACTACATGAGTCAGAGTTCCATCTTGGACTTGCAGCCTCTTGGTCTCAGTATAAAAGGCTGTCATTCAGCAATCTCTTATGCCCCCGTTAGTACGCTGAAGGTATCCCAGCAAGCAGCTCTAACGAGCTCAGGGAGAGCCTTCTAGTGTGAATGGAAATTAATCTTCTTGTTGACCAAAAGTTTTACTCAAAAGGTATCTTTGATTATACCAGAGCAATCAGTTATGCTATAGAATTATGTAAACAGGAGCTCTCTGACAGACATGGTTGTTATCCTGAGAACTGGATCAGTCATCCTGGTTTATCATCACTATGTATGCTTGTCTTTAGCCAAACATGGTAAGTCTGGGATAAGATTTCTGTTTATGGCTGATGGGGAGACTGAGTCGATGGTGGTTGGTCTTTGCAATGTAGCTAAACCTATGTTTAAAGTATGAACAGAGTGGTCCTGTATGTTCCAGTTTACAGCCAGTGTTTCTTACTGCCATTAACTGGAGATGCAAATATGTGACTGTGTGAATTGGTTTAAAATGATTACTGCTTATTGAGTTTTATAATACTGAAGAAAAACAAGTTCTGTGAGGGTTTTTTTATTTATTTTTCCCCACAGAAGCCTGGTTTTGAAAGAAGCTTTCTTACTGTGCTTTTGAAAATGGTGGAGTGGTTTATAATCATGATGAAAACATCATGCTTCTCATCTTTCAAAGCAGTTTAGCATGAGTATATTGCCACATTAAACTTGGCAAGCAAATCTTCCGTTCTCTTGAAATTTTGAGGATGGCAGAACTATTGCAACATGACCACTGAAAAGCTTTAATTATTAATGAGTTAGCAAAAGGATAATTAATCTTCAGATGGAGTATTCTACTGCTAGACATTGTTATACCTATATGAAAGTGGTAGGCGATTAGTATTCATATATTGTAAGGATAGTGGAGGAGTTAGTAGTTTTGAAATGGTTTTCTAAGACTCTTCCTTCCCTTCCTAGTCTATTGGGAAGTCTAGGGATTTTCTCTCAAAAATAGAGTAAAGCATTTTTTTCAGGAAATAGTGATAGCATTGAGTAGCTTCTTCTCATGATTAGTAACCAAATTACAGAAATGCTTGCTTGGATGAGAAGTCTAGATTTGTCAAATTGATAACTTTTTTTTTTTTTTTCCAAGTGTAAGCATACCCAAGAGATCTGATAGAACAGGAAAGACTGTTACGTATTACTGATCAGAGTAGCATGGTATTGTGTACGAAACTGTATACCATGTCCTTTAGTACAGCATCTAACTGTTGTGTTCAAGAAATGGTTAGATGTTGTACTGAGGGGCATGGTTTAGTGGGAGATACTGATGGTGTGTGGATGGTTGGACTGGATGATCTTGGAGGTCTTTTCCAACCTTGGTGATTCTGTGAATTTTTTTCAAGAATAGTGGTAGCACTCAGCAAGTGCTGAGCTAAATCTGAGATTTGTACTAAGTTGGTGGTTTTGAATTATTTGATATGTGTTCACCCTATCACGATTTATCTCTGTGTATGCCTTTTAAGTGCATTTGTGAAAAAGCATGTGTTTGTCACAGCTAACGGCAAGCTGAGTAATAAGAAGAAACAGAATAAGCTGAGTAATAATAAGAACCACCAGGAAGATCCAGACTTGAAATATAATAAAATAAAGCTTATGGTGTTTTGGTTTGTTTTTGTATTTCTGGGGGAGGAAAACAAAACCTCTGGTCAAGTATGGACAGTAGTAAGTACTGTTAACACTGTTTTCATGAGCAAAGCCAAAGTATTTCAAAAAACAAGTGATGAACATGATTGTCTTCCTCATTATATACCTACCTGTACAGTCTGGTGTAAGAGTTAGCTGGGAGGAAGATTTGACCTCATTCTGGTTTTGTGGTTTTAATATATGTATGTATTTTAGCTGAGCCTTTAAAAAACTAAGTACAAAAACACTGGAAGGCATATGTAAGACTCCACTGCATATTGAAATTCTTACCTATGCGTGCAGAAAATAGAGGTGCAGAAACACCTTTAATTTTTCTATACAATTTGTATTTTGCAGTTTTTCTTGTTTGCTTCTATTTCTTCCCCCAGATAACAGTTACCCCTTAGTTGTTGTGCTGTATAGTGTAAATAGGGAGACTCCAGCTAGATGAGAATAATAATAATAGAGAGAAGAAGTGAAAGCAGCTAAGAGATTGATATCTCACTTGGAAAGCAAAACAATTTGGCCTTGTTAAAGACCACCCATGAAGCAAACTGTACTTCAGCTATCCAGTGCTCAGGTCAGTGTGCCAGTAGGTGACTTTGTGTGACTTCAGAGTACTTTATTGGCTGGTTTGTTTGTTTGTTTGTTTTTAGTTCTGTCACATTAAAAATGGTTTTAATGGATATAACCCACACCTTTTATTTCAGTGTGACGGAGCAAAAATCAGCTGGCACATCTCTTTTATGTAGTGACATTTAAAATTACTTCAAGAAATAATACATTTGTAAGCAATTAGATGTCACTTTTAAATTCCTTATGGTTGTGACTTCAGTCCTTGTGCCATTTTTAAAGTGACAGAGCCCAATTTTTTTTTAAGGTCATTGTAGCAAATTCGGTAGATGAGTAAGTTTTGAATTTTGTCATATTCTTCCAGGAGTAGCATGATAGCTATGTCATCCATCCATCCACTTCACTTTTCACGAGTGGAGGATGAGGATCGGCAGCTTTTCTTTTCTTATTTCACAGTGTCTTGAGATAGTTCTCATTTTGCTGTGCAGGATATCTTCATGTTGGTTCAGGGAGGGTAGTTTTCTGGGGTTTCTTATGCTGTGATTTTTTGCTTCTTTTTTGATGTGCTTTTGCTTAGTTTTCATCCATATTATTCACTGTTTTATTAAAAAGCAAGATTTCACTCATTTTTCCCCTTATTAGTGTAGTTCTCCAGAACGCTTTCTCAAAAGTCAGACGGGTTTTCTCTTAAGTTTTCAATTCAGTGATTCTGACTGAACATTTTCCTATTTCTAGAATACTGAAATTAGAAATGTTTTCACTGATGTTTATCAGCAGCTGAAATTATGCAGGTATCTGTCTTAATTGAGTAGAAATACACCATCTGCTGGCAGGTTGATTTAATAACATGGTGTATCAACTGCAAAATAGTGCAAACTTCGTTTCAAAAGGTCAGGCAATTCTTGTGGTAACTTACAGTCCTCTAAGTGCAGAGATACTCCTGACAAATATATGGAGGAGTTCTTTAGGCACAGTGGTCAATTGAGCTATATTTGTGGTCTGTAGGAGGGTATTTTTTTTGTAATGTATTAGGTAATATATCTTTTTGACCTGTGTGTTTGTAGCGTAGTGTGGAAAATTCAAATAGAATGTGAAGTAGCTATAAATTATTCTAACCTTAATTAATATTATTAAGATGTTAATAACAACAGTGCTTAATTCTGATGTAGTAAAAAAGTACTTACTGACTGTGCAGATCTTTCTCATCCCATTTTCAGATGGGATTTGAGCAACTTAATTTTCAGAAGGAATTAAAGCTTCTACAAAGGGATGGGTAGATACAAGAAGAATGGAGCACTTTGATAAATGAGGGACAAAAGAGAATAAAGACAGACAAAATGCTGCAGAAATGAATAGCAGGCCTAATGGTGAACACAATTCCTGTAACTGCTGCTTTTTTATTGAACGAATACTGAATTGTTAAGGGCTTAGTTCTCTGTATGAAGGCTGCTTTCTATTTCTTTATGTGGTTAGATGAATGATGACGAACCCAGCAGGTGGTACCTGGTTTACAGAATTAAATTAAAACGCAATTCTCCTTGCTTTGCAGAAGGAAATTGCTATGTTACACTACATAGATATGCACCTCAATTGATAATGGGGTTAGAATGGCATTGGTAACTATACGTTTCAGCCTCTTTTCTCTGGTAACTTAGCTGTAGCATTCAAATTCTTCCACAAACCACGGGTGAAAAATAGTCATGCATAGTACAGAGTTAGTGATTCCACCTTCTGTGTAATTACAGGGAAAAAGAATTCACAAGTAGTGATTAACTTGTCTTCTGCAATAAGTATAAGCAACATAATGCTATATTTAAAGAAAGATGTTTTTTTAATGTGAAGATGATTTCTTAGAATGTTTTTCACACAAACAATGTGTTGTACCAATCACTTTTGTATCAGATGAAGTTATGTACAATTCACTACTAACCATTAAATGCAACCTTTTTTTTTTTTTTTTTTTTTAACCTCCAGGAGTTACTAAGGTTGACTATGGGGACATATCATCACGACTTGGATTGAGACGCAAGCTTCAGTGCAAGCCTTTCTCCTGGTACCTGGAGAATGTTTATCCTGATTCCCAAATTCCACGCCATTATTTTTCTTTGGGGGAGGTAAGATTTTTATGTGGCATACTTGTCTACAGTTTATTATAAAGTAATTTGCACAGTAAGTTTTCTTCTGTTCTGAACTGAGAAAGCAGACACATTAACGTCCAGTAAAGCTCAATTAACTTGCATGTATATCACCATCACCTGAAAAGTGATGCATCTGTCACCTCAATGAAGTAGAAAGTCAAACTTTTTGTGCTATGTTAATTGAAATGTTTTCACTTTCTTATTAGCATACTAAATTTCACAGAGAAGGCCGAAAGAGATATTCATTCAGAAACACATAGTTAAGGTGAACTCTATGAAGTTCTTCGTGTAGAGCAGTGTTTTGCTTAAAAAACAAGAGCAAGTCAAACAAAGACTTTGCTAAATGAATAAATAAATAAGTACTCTGAGCTTTACCCTCAGAATCCTCTTCAGTGACCAGCAAATCCTAATAGTTCTTAAGCTTTGCTGGGCATTTCTCTGTTTTTCTTTAATTCACATGACAGTAGAGGTAGCATAGATGAATTTGTCCTAAATAAACAGGCACATAGTTTCCTCTACAAGCCATATTGAGTCAAGTATTGCACCTTTTGTAGAGTAATTTTGTACTGTATTTGTTCAAGAAAAACATATTTCATGAAAGACAGGAGTGTTTATGCTGCTATCATCAGACTGCTATTCACTGTATTTACTACATAGTAGTACAGTCTTAATCCTGTATCTCAAGAACTGAAGAAATTGAACCACGTCTCCTGTGACTTCAAATGAAATTAAGCTCACTGTGCCTAGAAGAGTGCTTTGAAACTTTTGGTAGTTTTGGGCTGGCGGTGGAATTAAGTCCATTGCATTGTAGCTGAGCCTCTGAGAAAAAGGGGTCTCAAGGTGGGAAGATCCCAATAGAAGGGAAAGAAGCATGACTCTGTAACAAAGCAGCTTGATCATTTGCCTGGGAGTCTGAGTCATGGTTAGCATTCTCTCACTGTAGTACCACTCATATACTATACGATTCTTGCAGATAACCTGTAGGTATGTAACAGAGAGAACTGGTGTCAGTGTGGTTTGATACAGGCCTAGTTCTTTCTTAAAAATAACAGCCATTTGTGATGTGCTCTTTCTCACTCCCAGATAAGAAACGTGGAAACAAATCAATGTCTGGATAACATGGCAAGAAAAGAAAATGAGAAAGTTGGAATCTTTAACTGCCATGGAATGGGTGGAAATCAGGTGACTTTTTAAATGATAGCAATGAATTGTTTTAAATTCTACTCATCAGGATAATTTTTTACTAACAATCGTTAAATTTTACGTAAGCTGGACATTTTGTGAAACCTTGAAGATGCTGCCCTTAAGAGGGAATGCATGAAAAGATATGTTTATGATTCCTTACTTGTTATTTATTTGAAGACTCATTGTAGCATGATTTAGATAAAGTAAAAAATGAAACAAGGGGAAGAGACTGCTGTAAGCCACACTTCCCCTCCTGTAGGGTTCTCACAAACCATCTCCTGATTAGACTTGTTGATTGTCATTGATAGTTAAACAAAAACAAAATTATCTTCTTCCACCTGAACTGACATTTTCAGTGTGCTTGAGTGTCACTTCTGAAACTTTCTTCCACTTGTTTGTTTTTTTTTGTTTTGTTTTTTTTTTTTTTTTTTCATTTGTTTCATTAGTAATTTTTGATCAGGTCTTTTCCAGTATACGAAGATTGACTGACTTGGGGACTGTGCTGTTCCTGTGTGGAAAACAGCCTGCAATTTGGAAATGTCATATGGAGAACTTATGTATTGTTCGTATTTGTCCCCTAGAAGTAAAATTATTTATGTGTATGATGAAGAAAAGTAAAGTTCAGTGAATATTAATGAAGCAACAAATGTTCCCCTCACTCACACCTGCCTCCTCTGCTCCCTTCTACCACCACCACCCTTTTGCTGTCCCTTATCCAGGAATTCTGTAGTTGTGTTGGGTTTTTGGGTTTTTTTTTCAGTTTTTGTCATTATTTTTCTGTCTAGGTTTTCTCATATACAGCCAACAAAGAAATTCGAACTGATGATTTGTGTTTAGATGTCTCCAAACTTAATGGCCCAGTAACAATGCTCAAGTGCCACCATTTAAAAGGAAATCAGCTTTGGGAATATGATCCAGTGGTAAGTCTTCTAATAACTTGTGATGTTAAAATTAGCCAACTTCTGTTTTTATGTGAGCCTTACACATCAACAGACTCCTTTGTGGGGCTGCTATTTGACAGTCAGAACAGGAAACAAAGTCAGGAGGATTATATTCCCCTTGCCATTAATTCATCAAGTGGTATTTGCATTGATTAATTACCTAATGAGGTTTGGAGGAGGTCTTAAAAAAAAAAAAAAATGTTTTCAATGTGCTTCCAGACCCTCTGAAGAAAAACTGTTAGTGCAGTATTCTTTGAAGGTGAGGTTGCCTTAATATTATCTATTGCTGATCACATAGATAGCGGAAATTATTTCCTGTCATCAATTCTGGCACCTGGTTTCTTGGGTCTCACAAGGTTAAAAGGAAATGCTGTTGTAATTAAAAAATCAGCATCCAAAATTATAAGAGAGATTTTACATTTACATTCAGTGTGTTTAAGAGATGCTTCAGACAGCTTTATTTTAATCACCTCTTCCATACTGTGCAAACTCATTTTAAAATTCATAAGTTAAACTGACAGAACTAGAAATCATTGTGTGCTTGTGCAGTGGTCATTAATGTGCTGTACAAGCTCTGAAGACAATACTGTGATTGAGTAGAAATGTTGATTGAAATGCTTAAGTTCGAATTTTGGGAGTCATTCATTCTTTTTTTAACATTGTTAGTCTACCTGACTGAAGTAAATACATTGAGTAATAGTATGTAGTAATGTGTTTATGTAATAATCAGTAATTCATGAAAGGGCAAGTGCTGGTTGTTTTTATTTCTTTTCTTGTTTGTTTGTTTTTTTTTTATTGTTGCCTAAATGGCTAATTACAGATAGTATCAAATCAGATTATTATCTTTAATTTATTTTGAAATGAAGTAACCAAGTTCTGAAGTAGAAGATAGTATCCAGATCACTAGCATTTTTCAGCATGTGTTTGCATTTTGTACATATATGTACGTTTGTAGATGTGAATGTTTTTGAGAAGGGTATAATACAAGGTCAGTTATGTGTCCCTGACTGAGAAAAAAGAAATCAATGTGTTTGTTCTGATCTCATGAAAACTACTGTTACAACTAATAATCAAGGCTGTACATCTTATCAGAGTTGAGCTTCTAAGTACTTGCAAACTCACAGAATCATAGAATCATAGAATGGCCTGGGTTGAAAAGGACCACAGTGATCATCTAGTTTCAATCCCCCTGCTATGTGCAGGGTCACCAACCAGCAGACCAGGCTGCCCAGAGCTGCATCCAGCCTGGCCTTGAATGCCTCCAGGGATGGGGCATCCACAACCTCCTTGGGCAACCTGTTCCAGTGTGTCACCACCTTCTGGGTGAAAAACTTCCTCCTAATAGCTAACCTAAATCTCCCCCGTCTCAGTTTAAAACCATTCCCCCTTGTCCTGTCACTATCCATCCTTGTAAAGTTGTATCCCCTCTTGTTTATACGCTCCTTTCAAATACCAGAAGGTCACAATGAGGTCTTCCCATGGCCTTCTCTTCTCCGTGCTAAACAAGCCCAGTTCCCTCAGTCTTTCGTCAGAGAAGAGTAGTACAGTCTTATTTAAATAATGGTGGATATTGCTTGACAAAGAACATTGTTTTGTAAGTTCAGACTGTTCTCTTGTTCTTGAAACATAATGTGTTTATACCTACAACATAGAGCGACATATTTGAGTTTTCTTTAGCATTGGGTTCTGGGGTTAGTAAGCAAGGGAGGTCTTATCTAGCTCCTGTTTACTTATGGAAGAATTGTAAGAGATATTAAAACCTCTTTATTCTGCCTGGTGATTTTGTACAACTCATTTCTTTTTGTCTTCCAGAAATTAACTCTGCTGCATGTGAACAGTAATCAGTGCCTGGACAAAGCCACCGAAGAAGACAGCCAGGTACCCAGCATCAGAGACTGCAATGGCAGCCGCTCTCAGCAGTGGCTACTTCGCAATGTCACCCTTCCAGAAATATTCTGAGAGGTTCTAAAGAAAATAAAGGATTGACTGGGCTACCTCGGCAAATACTTTGGCTACACTGTTAAGTAGCAACAGAAGGAAACTTCTCTGCAGAATCCAGTTTTCCACCTGCTAGAACTCCTGCAGCTTTTCTGTAGCTGTGAACCAGCCTTCCTGTAAAAGGATGTGAAACTACCACACATACTAGTGAGACTGCGCCCACTGATGTTTACATGATTGAAGGAGTTTCTTCTAGCAAATCACGTAGAGAACATTTGGACAGTGGAAACATAATCAATGAAATATTCTTTCTGAGGAGCTGCATATCATCGTAGTTTGCTTGCACATCAGTAACCTCTGCTGAAAGTGCTGTTGTAATGAAGAAAGTTCAAGACTTTTTTTTCCTGGTTAACTGTGGTAACCAGACTACTAAATACAGATCTACAAATAAGCAGAGAGCTGGGAAATGGATTCAATAACATGCGATAAGAATTCTGTAGTTTAAGGAGAAAAAAAAAAAAAAGTAAACAGGGTTGAATGGAAACTAAATCAGAACTATGAAAAGTACAATTTGTTATAGTGAAGTATCAAATTTATATGTAGATTTTATACCTCAGTGGGGGGATGATAACCAAGTCAAAAGGCAATTCTCTTTTTTTCAATTGTGTGATAGTCCATAATTACTTCTTTTCTCCCTGGTGGGTCTAAAATAATTTTGGGCGCAAGCAAAATGAGCGTAAGAATAAACTTAGCTCTTGAATGTCAGATCAACATTTTTATTTCAATTTCTTGGCTGTTGGAATTGTATCTTTTTATTACTGTCTGAAAACTGGAGGTTAACATGCTGTCTAACTTTTTTTTTTTTGTCCAGACCTGACATTTCAGTTTTTATTTGGGTCAGTCAGCTTTCATGGACACTCGTGGCCAAACAGAAGATTTACGTACGTGTTGAAGTCCTTAAGTTAACTTGATGGAATACACTTAGCACCCGGAACTCATACTACTGTATTATGGTTTTGTTTTCATGGCCGTAAATCTTTTGTTCCCTGTTTGATTTTGGTCATCAGAAAGCCAGAAGAGAAGATACATGATGTGGGTAGCAGGAGATTGGCAAAACTGAAGGTTTTCTGGAATCCTTTTTCACTCCATATTCAGATGTGCTTCATTGTCAAGTGCATATTTAGATTAGATTCTGAATTGTAATGTTGATCTGCTGCTTTTTTCTAATAAAATCTAAAGAAAGATAGCTAAATTGGTATGGTTTTAAGTTAACATAGCCAAAAGCAATATGACTGTCATTACATGGGTCTGCGTTTTTTTTTTTAAACTCAATTGTTCTGTTAAGAAAAATCTGTGTGAGCTGATGATGAAAATGAGCTACTGAATGCTCAGGCTATATGTTGAATTTTCTTTTGGAAAGAAAAATGAGATTTACTTAATGGAGAGGATATTTTTATGATAAATGTCATTGTTTGGCCAACTGTCCTGTAAAGCAAATTAAATCTAGACTCCTGCAAAAGTTGTGTGGAATTATGTTTGACTGTTACTGCCATTCTATATTTGCTGCTCCCAGTTGCTTTAGGCAGTGTTATCTCCATTATTTCTGTGGTAGTACGCAAGAGTTTTCATCTGCACAACGGGAAAATTTCAAAGAAAAAACTGCCATGTTATACTGCTATTTAAAATCCATAAGATGAGGTGATGTGGTTATATTTACCTAAATACAGGTATCTTTCATATCCCTCTCTTTTGGAAAGCTCTACTAATCTCATGAGGTAGAAGTGGATTAATGAAAGTAATTGCATGGTGCAGTTATTAGGAAGGTATCGACGTGTGTCTGCAGGACTAAAACAGAGAGTCTGTCTTAATGGTTGTACGGAACCTTGTTTCCCTTTGGTACGGTTGGTGAAGAGGATGGGATGGTGACAGTGTCATCAGTTAGAGTTGGCACATTTTCTTGCTCCTTACATTGTCTGCTGTCCCTCATGTCTTTATGCTGTTTGTGAAGTACAGTTAATGTTCACCTGAGACTGGATGTTAGCCCACCATGATACTGACTGCAGTCTGATGCTGTATCAGTGCGTGGTGTTTTGGATCATGTTTGGGATTTTAGTTTTGCTTTATCTTAGCAAAGAAGCTTTGAGCAGAGCAGGGTAGGAGAGCATGCAGGGGATTAAGAGTGAGGTTAGGTCGTAATTCAAAAACATTTTCCCAAGTTCAGAATTGCATCCCTTTGAAAACATTGCGAGAAAAGAGGTTTTAATTTGGATTGACTAAGCTTTCATGGAGTGAGAAATAGAAAAATCAGAAGAGCGGTGTATGAGTTTTGGATGTTCTAAAAATTTCTTAATTTGGTGCTGTGGACCTTATATGACTCTTCAGTGAACACCTAAAAACCAGTATACTTTCAGTTTATATTTTTAATTCTTGTGATCATTTCTGTGATGCTTATCCCGTTAAACCATGGCAATTACTTTTTTTTGTGTGTGTGTAATTTTTTAATCCATAACTTTGATGGATTTTGACCTGTATTCAGCAGGTCATGCATTGGTTGGTAATATTGTGATAATAATCATTGCACAACTAAAATCACTGTGTCAAGGTATCAGGTTTGCAAAACTGAAATACTCATTGTGATGCACAGCCCATACCTTAGTGATTGTTCCCTGCTGAGCACTGGGGGGAAAAGCAGCAGTCTGGAGACTATCTGCAGCTTCTGGGTGTTTGGTTCAAAACCCTTCACTCCCCAGTCCCATGCCAGGGCTGACTGGGGCTGGTTGGTGGTAGTTGGCTGGACTAAGCTTGCCAGTGTCACCAGCCTGTGCTCAGCAGTTGCTGAGACTATGTTAGGAGTCAACGCGTGGCTTCTGTAAAGAATCACTGTTCCTTCAGCAGCGTGCATTTCAAATACGCTGTGGCATTAAGCATCTTCCAAATGTTGCCATGGAATAGCTCCCACGCCTGGTTTTATTGCTTTTCTTACCCTGTGGTTGTGGCAGCTGTCAGTGGTGCTCACTGCTGACGTTGAACCTGGTGTCTCCATTTACCTGCAGACTCCCAGTGGTGGTCCTCCACTGTCAGGTGTCGTATTCTTATGTCCCAGCTCCAAGTGGGAGTACTGGTGGACTCTAAATACCTAGTTTCTTTAAATCGAATCCCTCCTCTCAGACTAAAGTCTTTGGAAATTTTTAGAATCTCTGTAGCTATTGTATTCAATCTGTTCTGAAAAATAGCATTCTGTTCTTTCGTAGTGTGTAACATATCTGTGTTAATGGGGATATGAATAATTTCTGGGCTCTGGAGACAGCGGTCTTCAGCACCTCTGTGCTTAGAGCTGCTTTGTTCAGATCAGATGTAGGAGGTAAAACAGAACATGGATGTCCTGTTTGACATTGACAGCAAATGCGTGTAAGGTTAGTGAGAAGACTAGGAGCCACGTTTTGGAATTAGTAAATTCTTCTTTTGTGCTGCCTTCAGTTTGTTTAGTGAAGATTTCCTATGTCTGCTCTAAAGATAGTGTTCTGTTCTTCATCTTTTCCTCATTTGGCTGTGCAAAGACATTTATTGAGAAACACCAGTGCCTTTTAACTGAATTGACGTGTATTACACATTATGGTATGACCTTTGGGTAACTACTCTGCTAGCTTTTTTCAAATATGAAATTAAGTTGTATTTTAGTGGCTTTATTTTTATGGTGGTAATGTACAAAAGAGCTTAACTTTCCAGTTTATCTGCAGTGGATATAATCAGAGACAGTACTGTTAAAGGGAGGGAGAATCTCTGCGTTCCAGGTTAGCTGCATAAATAAGGTGACGGTTCTAATTCCCTCTCTGCAGAATCTGTCTTTGTTGCCCTGTTTGTTCAAGTAATGTAACGCGTTCAGATGAGCAAACCCTTGGCAGAGCAAATTTCTCATACTGTACGTCCCGTTCCAATTAAGAAGAGACAAGTATCCATGAAAAGACTGGGAGATCGTTATTAAACTTTCCATAATCTGAGAGCATGGAAGAACTGTTACTGTAATGAGAAAATGCAGGAAATGGTCATTAGTCACAGAATAGATTTTAATGGCTTTAACACCTTGCTTCTTGTTTGAACTCTGTTGTAATAATAGAGATTTAGGGTCGGGTTAAAATGATCAGCATCACAATGCTGTTTACTTTCAGGTCTGTATTAGAATTGCATACAAGCATCTTCAAGCAAACTGTTGCCGGTTGTTTGTCTGACCCTTAAACACTGATAATTGAGAACTGTTTGACCAGACTCAGCTGTGGTGTGCTGTGAAGGTGATACACATGGTGTACAGTACTTTGAATAGCAAAATCGTATTTTCTTTGTTTAAAAACAAGAGTTTTAATGTAGGAAATTGAAGCAGCATAAATAGTTATTAAATTACCTTGAGACTGAAGATGAAGAGACCTTGAGATGAAAACTAACTCACTGCACAACTCACTTTTTTTTTTTCTTTAATCTTAGAGAATGCAGTTGTAGCATTCTGCTTCCATTTCATGCCGTGTCAACTGATCCCTACCATGCTGAGCTCATGCTGAGCCATTCAGCCGGGTGATGTTAGTCCATATCAGAACCAACCTCTGAGATGAAAGCAAGCTGCTATGTCTGACAATAAACCAAGTAATTGCCACAGCATCTGTTCAGGGTAGAGAGAGTAACCTGCCTTTGAAAGCATCTTTACTGGTTTCCTTGTCTCTTTGATTGTAAGAATCCAGCTTTAACTTCAAATCTAGCCTGAATTCTTGCTTCAGTAATTTATGAATCTTTACTGTTCTAATACTCTCTGCTATGTCACTGTGCTGTTGTTGCGGCTAGAACCATTTGGCCATGGAGAGCTTGCATTACTGGAGGTGAACTGCTGGTAGAAAGAAGATTAACAAGTGTTTTTCTTTTAAGAGATTTCACCACCACTTCCTCTGAACTTTAGAAATAAGCCTTTCCTACAGTCTCAATTTTGGCAAAGGAAAGCACCTATGCTGTGTAGTAGTCCAGGAAAAAATGTTGGGTTTGTGTCCAGCCCATAGAAAGTGGGAAAGAAGCCCAGCCTTCATTGGTGTGGCGACTTCAGAGCTGGGAATGTTCAGACCAAATAATTTGAGAACAAGTTTTGTAGTTGCCTTGGCTGCATAATGAGGAGATCTTGGTTGTTTCACAGCAGAGATCTCATTTCAAATTCTGTGAAAACAGGAGGAATTTTCTGGCTGCTGTTTTCTGTCATGGTTTCGATGTTCATGAATTGATTAATGGGAGCATGTGAGTCTCTAATGGATCTTTTTGGTCTGAAAATGTTTTCAAGTAGCTAACCACGTAATAGATTAGCAAAGTGGTAATCAGACCTGTGCCCATTAAACGGACGCAGTGATGAGCAGTTCTGATAGCAAATATGCTAGGATCTCAGATGTAACAGCTGTCACTGCAGGTAATTGCTGTGACGTGGCAACTAATGGCCTGTTGAATGCTGATGAACTCCTCGCAACGTCTCTCGTAGTCTTCTCAGTCAGGGAGATGATGGGAATGAAAAGTGTCATTTCCATTACCAGGGTAGAGAATCTCCCCCCAGTGTGAAATAAAGTTAGGTATATAAAAAAAAAAAAGTATCCTTGAGACAGCGAGATCAAGTTGCGCGTGTAATTCTGTTCAGATGTGGCTGCACTTAACATGGTGATCGAACTAGAGACAAAACCAAAAATTTTCTCCTTTCCAGATGCTGAAAACCACAGGAACTGATTCTGTATTAGCCGTATTTATGGCCTGCTTTGAATGTGCTAGTTCTCAAAATTGCTCTTTGTAGTCGAAGCCAATCGTTCTTCTGATCTGGCCTAGATATTTTTGTGTGTGTGATCTTGAAAGTGAATCCCTAAAAGAAAAAGCAAAGAATTATTTAATTGCAGATTGTGCATATGTACATATTTCTGTGAAGTATTTTGGACAATGCACTAAACCAGCTCAGCCAATTAATACTGAGGTTCATCCCACAGCAGGAGTGCAGGCTTCTGTTGCTCAAAGCAAGTTTACCTCTGTGTTACCTGTTGCAGGCATGCTTAGCCCTGCCTGTCTTTCTCTGTGCATAGGATGCAGCTGGTGCCAACACCCCAGTGAGATGAAATGCTTTATTGTTACAGCTCCTTTTCATGGTTTTGAGCTTCTAGGAGGTATTGTATCCCATTTCTACTTTTCTATGTGGTTTCCTTGCCTTGCACAATTTCATTTCATGCCACAGTTTGAAACACCTTTAGAAGAAAATGGTAATATCTTTGTGTAATTCAGGGATTTTGCAAAACACCAGACCCTCAAAGCCTGGTTTGTTTCCAGCTAATGACTTGCCTACTGAATGCCTTGATTGCTTCAAGACCAGTCCCTTAAGGTATGCGGCAGTTCTCTGAAGCTACATTCCAACTGGATCTCTGAACTCCGTTCTTGTGGAAACTGAAGAGGCTTTGAGTGCAGTCCAGTCAGATTTGTGATAAATGTCAGAGATGATCTTAAATAAACACTGACATCACTTAG